ATTTTAGATACCATTTTTCTTTTTTGGGTCAGAAACTTCACACTGTATTTGCGAGCATTTGAGATACCATCATCTTCCGTTTTCCGTTTTTCAGTTACATTCTCCTTTTCTCGGCTAGTACTTGTGCCAAAGAAACAAAACACTACAAATTTGTTTGATCCAGTTTTTCCCAAATCTACGATTCCATCTTTCCATAATGCTGTTAACGATCACGATTTTCCAGAAGGCGTTCGACTGCAGCCTGAACGTTCCCAGCAGTTGCAATCAGTGCCTGAATATTTTCTTGGGTATCAGTAAAACCCAGCTCCTGTAACTCGGAGAGTTGAGTGCTGTATATCTCTTCAGAAGACGCTGCATGAGAAAGCAAAGAACATCACAAAATTATGGGCAACAGTAAAACTTGATACAAACAGAGCAAGAGAGAGAGAGAGAGCGTGTAGATTCAAGTAGGTATAACCTTGGGATTCTTCGAAAAGACTGCTTCTAATGCCATCAAAACTTCCACAAATAGCGAACATGTTCAGTAGCATATTTAATGCAATGTTACCGCCTGTTCGAGTTTCCAATGTGATCAACAACGGAGGATATATCATATACATGAAATTATACTTCAGCCTGGAGATTTTTTGCTAGTAGTCGTAGATATGCACAAAACAGTGCTAAATCGCGCACATTTGTTATCATCTGGAATTACGAGGAACTTATGAAAAAATACCTTGGAGTTCGATTTCCTTATGAAAATTTTCAATAATATAAAGGAAGTAATTGAATGGTTCCAGTGAATTCTTCACTATGCCATGAGGAAAAAGTGTTGTTATTATCATAGGAAGAAGTGAAGCAAAACAATATTGAACCAAGAAGGTGGGGTCTGCACATCTGGACTATTGATTTGATGAATAACTACCAAGCAAACTTTTATAAGCACTTTTTTTTTTTTGCAGACTACAGTCACCAAACCCAACGGGTAATATGAGGATCACGGGGTGTAAACAGCAAACAAAAACTTGCTGCTTAAGAACAGGCAATATTGGAGTGTTAAATGATGCAACATACAGTCATATAGGGACATAGTTATGAAAATCAAAAGATGCATTGACTAGAATGGTAGGAATCTGGAATTAACATTGAGAAGAAGGAGAAAAACAATGTAATATAAGTTCAAGATGTAAAAACCATACTGGTTCCTCCTGTATTATGGCTAGGTTCTCTGCAGCATTTGATAAACCAAATTAGTTAAACAGAATTTTCCCACAAACTTTTGGTGAAGCATATTATTTATACCAGTGACCATTTAGTTCCACAGTTATTCATTATCAATGATAGAGGAAAAATATATGGACTGAACTTACCCAGATGCGCCAAGACGGAGAAGTAAAGATGAGTACTGGAAAATGGTCCGAATTACCTGAAATTGGAATGAAGTAAACAACGTCAATGGTCAATAATAGGGAGAGGTGATGAAATACAAAGAAAGGAATATGACAAACTACTAAGTGCGAAATAAGGTTACAAGGAAACGAATATGACAATATTACTAAGTGCGAAATAAGGTTACAAAGAAAGGAATATGACAAAACTACCAAGTGCTCGCACAGAACATTGCATTAGAAAATTAGAATGGAACATCATTACTACAATTTCCTACTATATACCGTACCAGACAACTTCATCTTAATTGACGACGTTAGTCATGAGATTCAATGAAAGTGAATAGGTGCCTTACAAAAAGGCCATGAAAATTCTGTATCTGAGATAATTAGGCAAGCTTATCCATCCACAGAATGAAGTGCCTTATGGGAAGAGAACAGGGCATTCACAGGAGCATAAAAAACAATACATTATGACCACTCATCAAACAGTAATGCCAAAAAGGAACAATAAAAACCTCCCTACCTAAAACACATTTTTAAGGGAAAGACAATAGGACAGCACAGGATATGCCACCATTTTAGAAGAGAACGTGGCAATTGTCAAAGGAAGCAAAATGACCCAACTAATAGATTTAACTCAAAGAAACAGACAAACAAGATTTATTCTACAGCATTTACGGTTAACACCGGCCGGAAAGCCATTCAATGCCAAAAAGAAACAAAAAAAAGCATCACTTATTAGAGATTATTCATATACAGATGTGTGATGCAATCTACAAATGCCAAAATCTGTTCCTCCTTTTCCTTTACCTACCCGAACCAGAACTTGTTAAATTATATTGCATATTCCACTAATATGTTTAAGAGTCTACAATAAGGTGACAGTTCCACAACAAACCAACCAGTTCAACAGCACAAGGATTGAAAATACGCAGTACCATTGAGTATCCACACAACATGACTGAAGCTTCACATGCACTAGGGACACAAAAGATTCCGCAAATCAAGAATCCCCATGAAGATGGAGATAAAGAATATAGCAGTTACCTGCATCATCTCGGGCGAAGTTACTAGACGAATAAATTCAGGATTCTGCATAGTATGTCTAAGCTGAGGACTGGAATCAAGCATGCTCCTTAGAGATGGATTGCTGACAAGAATCTACAATCCAGATAAGAGAAAAATTAGAGAATATTAGGTGGAAAATATGGCAAAAAAGAAAAAAACAAATAATGGGAAACCTGAATAGTCAAGTAGGATCCAATAAGATAAGGAGATCAATAAACCTGATTCATGAGCTGGGGACTGGATAAAAGACTGCGCATCATCTGAGAAATGTTCTCCTTTCCCATTAATTGATCAATAGTGGTAATTTCTGATATCGAACCCAGCAGATGCTCCAAATCAGGGACACCATTTCCTGTTAGGCCACCTGCTGAAATAGGTCTTGCATTGCCGATAGGATTTGACAGAACACCTATATTTATGAATTGCAGGTTAAGAATGCTAAAGCCGCCCATACCACCAAATTAGCAGAAAATGTGAATTGGAGACTGGATGAAGGAATCGAAGTGCATAACAGCGGTAATGGAAAATGGCAGTGTAATGTTTGAACACATTAGAGACCACTTAGCTTGACTAGCATATTCAAGAGTTAAGAAGAGCAATATTTTGTAGCTTGCTGAAAATCGTCTTTCCTTTTGCTCTCTTCCTTTTACTAAATTCATAAGAAGTGTGTGCTATTTTCACAAGATTACAAAGAAGTGTTTTAACATAAAGCGGAAACATGCACAATTAAAGTTCAGTCAAAACCTGTTAGTGTTTGGGGAAAGTTTAAGGAAATATATATAGGAAGACCAGATTACAGTTCCATGACACCTATGCATGCATTGTAACGCCCCAAGTCCGGCCTATATTTTAAAGGAAATATTTACACCGTTTCAGTTTTCTTTTATACATGTACAAATAACACCTTTTGATTCCTATAGGCAAAACTATAAAAAGAAAACGACAAAAAACTGCCATGACATTCCACAAAGTAAACAAAATTTCAAGAAAGCAGGCAATAATATTTTGCTTTTAAGTGCAGATTGCAGCAGTCACTGTGACCAGGTAAATGATGCAGAAGAAATGACATGTACTTTCACCAGAGGCCCAAGGGTTGGGAAGTGGGCTCGTATTCGGAGAAGCAGAGTTAGTTGTTGTTTCAGGTCCAGGAGATGCTAAACTAGCCGTTTGAACTCCACCTTGTCCGCCAACTTGAGCTACCAAGCCAGACATAATGTCACCAGCCATGATGAATGAATTAAGTAAGGGCCGCTGTACATTCTCATACATCCACTGGGAGGACTCAATGTTGCTCAATTCCCTGTAAGTTTTACGCATATATTCTTGGTTTTGTGCAGCAGCCATGGTTTTACGGATGGTCTCAGGATCGTTAACTATGTGCACAAGTTCTGGGTTACGATCCATAAACTCACGCACACGTGAACCGTTCATGATCAAATCGTGCATGGTTTCGGGACTGATTGTCGAGCTCAATATCTGGTATGCATCCAAAATAGCCCGAATCATGTTAGGGTTTTGGGTGAGCATGTCAGGAATTGGAAGTCCAAATAAACCACTGCCGTTTCCTGATCCGTTCAGCAGTGTAGAAAGAAATGAAGATCCAAGACCGAAACCTCCGAGTGGCGAACCTCCTTCAGAATCAACATCACCTGTTGAATTCGTACTTTTGACTCCAGCATGGCTTGTGGCTGCACTATGTGACGGTGCATCTGAGGAAAGACCTTGAACTAAGTGAACAGTGTGATCTTCCTCAAGACCTATCAACAACATATATAAGCATAGTGCAAATTATTATAATATTATTTGAACATCTATCATACAACTTACAGGCATAGCTTGTCAATGTGCACAAACTTAAGTATACAAGCAAGCAAGAGAACAATGACTGTGAGATAACTGAGGAATAGAGGAGAAACTTGAATCGTGAAAAGGTTCAACACTTCCTAAGTTACATATTTCTTCACAGCATCGTGCAATCAATCAATCACTGGTCCTTTCTCCCTTTTTCAGCAAGTCCTTCGCAAAATGTATCCTAGCTTTGTAGACCGACAAAATACTAATAGTAATAGTAAACAAAAATGAAGATGGAGAATAAGAACCAACAATGCCGCACAACTAGATTTCTCACGCGAAAAAATTGCGAAACTGGAAATTTAGCCATGGAAATTCAACTTCCAAGTCCCACAAAAATCAAAATAAGTTCTCCAAACTGCGGCTGGAAAAAGGAGAACCGTAGAATTAACAGAAAAATCCTATTGAAATGAGCTGAAAATTTAGCGCGTAAGATACAACAGGAGGAGTACCATAGCTTTGAAGCGTTCGATCGCCCCTCAGTATGAGTCCTTTGTAGATCAAAAGCTGCTGGTGAGCCGGAATTTCGCAGTGCTGAGCAATGATTGACTTGAAAACCTGAACAACAGCGTTCAAGTTCACCTGAACAACGAACTTCGAGCCGTTCAAGCACTGGATGTTCACCGTCGCCTCGCCTCCGGCATCGATGCTCGAACCCTCTCCGCCATCGGCGACGTCGCAACCTCCCATTCTGATACGAAATTCTGAAGGAAAAAATCAGGAACTATGAAACCGAAAACCCCTCTCCCTCGCTCACCGTGCCATGTACGAAAAGAAGAAAAAAAGTTGAATGGGCCAAGCATGTAAGTTGGTTTTTAAATATGAATCGGCCATGGCTAGCATGTAAGTTAATCATTATATTAGTTGTTATTCCGTTTATATTAATATAAATAATATTTTAATATATTTATATTTTTGAAATAAAAATAATAATAATTTTTTGTTCAAGTAATATTTATTTTAAAATTTATTATCATATAATATTATTATTATTTATAAGAGTTATAGAAACAATTTTATATTTTTATGTAATGTTAAGGATTTAGTGTATTATAGTATTATTTACTAATGTAATTCATTTAAAGTTATGTAAACAATTTAAAATAAAGTATTGTGTATAAAATGGTTTACCAAATATACATACATGTAATTATATTCAGTTCTTAGTATTTATTGTATCTCATAACAAATTGAAAATAAAATAATCTCAATATATATAAAACACACTAGGGGAAAGTGAATGACTTTCCCCTCGATTTTAAATTTAGCTAAACATCATATCACCTCGTCTAGCGGCTGCAAGTTGTGCAACTCTAATCTCGATTCAACCCTTCATTCTATTTTTTTCTGTTCTCGGGTCGTGCACCTTTGGAAACACAATAACTTTTATCCTCTAATTAAAAAGGCCAAAAATGGGTCTACTATGGATTTATGCCTGTGGATGAAAAACAGCTTGTCAATTCCAGAATTTGAAAACTTTGCATTGTTGGCTTGGTTAATTTGGAAAGAGCAGCAAAGAGTTATTCATGGCGCTAACATTAATGAAGCCCTCAAATACGTGGCCGGAGTTGATAACTTGAAGCGCAACTTCCAAATATCCACTGAAGCTTCGGGGACCGCTCTCTGTACTGAAGATCATCAAACATCCCACAATTGGAGTCCACCTGCCAAACACTCAATTCGACTCGATGTTGATGCAAGTGTTCATATGAAAGACGGTAGATATGGGATCGGGGGTATTTCTCGCGACGATCAAGGTAAAGCTCTTTTCTATTTTGGTATGCCAGTCACGAATCCGGGTTCTGTTCTTCACTGTGAGCTCTTGGCAATTAAAGAAGGATTGGAAAAATGTAGAATGTTGCACAAAGCCCCTCTCTTTATTTTCAAAGATTCTTTGTTGGCGGTACAAGCAATTACCGACTACAAAGAGACTCATGGTTATATTCGCTCTTGGGCAAAAGAGATTGATGATCTAATGTCTAATGCGGCAGTGTCCAGTCGACTCCAACATATGCGTCGTTCGGCAAACAATGTTGCCCATGCTATTGCTAATTTTGCTTCTTTTTTCAATTCTCCGTTCTTATGGACGGCGGATGGTTTTCCTTATTGGCTTAAAGAACTTATTTGTAATGACTTTGTTTTTTTATCCTTAATGAAAAGTTCTTTTCCAG